ATTTATGCTTTGTATGTCTTGTGGGATTGTTTCTATCTTGTTTTGTTAAGCACTTTGAGCTTCCTTGTGTATGCACTGTGCTATACAAATAACCTTGCCTTAATGGATTTGGCATTTCTATTAGCTATGACTGAGCTGAAGTTGGCTGATTGACAAAAGTAATACTGTGACACATTCAAAAACCGGAGCTAAAGTTGGCTGGATGATACTGTGAACTTGTGTATGATCTCATCATGCTTGTTCTCATATTGGTCATCATTTTGATCTCATATTAAATTAGTTTTCATGAATTTTCTGAACTAATTGTTCTAAGTTCACAGGAAAATTAAGGCCTAAAAGTAAAGATACTTTATCAATCCAGTTTATGATAGTGGAAAAAAGATCACTCAAGAGAGACCAGCGAGAGACCAGAGAGAGAGAGACCAGAGGGAGAGAGACCAGAGGGAGAGAGACCAGAGGGAGAGAGACCAGAGGAAGAGAGACCAGAGGAAGAGAGACCAGAGGAAGAGAGACCAGAGGAAGAGAGACCAGAGGAAGAGAGACCAGAGGAAGAGAGACCAGAGGAAGAAAGGCCAGAGGAAGAGAGACCAGAGGAAGAGAGACCAGAGGAAGAGAGACCAGAGGAAGAGAGACCAGAGGAAGAGAGACCAGAGGAAGAGAGACCAGAGGGAGAGAGACCAGAGGGAGAGAGACCAGAGAGGGAGAGAGACCAGAGAGAGAGAGAGACCAGAGAGAGAGAGAGAGAGAGAGAGACCAGAGAGAGAGAGACCCAAGGGAGAGGGAGAACAGAGGAAGAGAGAGAGGGCAAGATTGACCAGCGCGAGAGACCGACCAGAAAGAGGTCAGGGGTTAATAAAATGCACGCTTTTGAAACCTGGCACCAGTGGATACGTTTGAAACCGATACACGCATAGTCTGTACATTATAATTCTATCTGACAAGAAATTAAAATCAATTTCTCCAGAGTGGACAGATACATTTACAGAGATCTTTTTACCGTTTCAAAACTAATTCACCCTTTCGTCTCTGTCTGGATAGGGCCTAAGAAGCAATTTTTTGATTCCTAGTTAAATGTGACTTGATAAACGAAAAGCTTTTATCATAATTGTTTCACCTTCTCATTTACACATTCAATCGCTCTAGAGTGTAATGAAATCTCACGATTGCATGTCTTTTGATGAAAATCTGATCATTTGTACTCCACGTTCTACATGGTTGGTGCTGCAGAGGAGTACATTGTAAAGTCGGATGAAGTAAAATTGGATGATTCTGTATAGTATTGCAATATTTGGGCCACAATTCTATGAAATTACTATTACGATTCTTAACATATTGTGATACAGAAAGAATTGCGATTCAACGCTGCAATATGCTGCAATAAGTCCTTCATCTTATTCAAAGGCATTACAAAATTTGAGGAAAATACGTCTGCTCAACTCAAATGTCACATTCATTATGGTCTGCACATTAACTGTAGTGCAAAAACTGAATAGCTTCTCACATGAACGGTGAGCTCCCAGCACATCACTTAAATTATTCAAATACAACAGACTAGAATCACAAAGACAAATTCCCTATGCTAGATCACTGTTGTATATAATAATAATAATGCACTTTTTTGGACACTCAAAGAAGCTTCACATGTCATTATTCATTCACTCCATACATGGTGGTGATAAACTACTACTGTAGCCACAGCTGCCCTGGGGCACACTGACAGAAGCGAGGCAACCAGTATGTGCCATCGGCTCCTCTGGCCACCACCAACCATTCACACACCAGAGTCATTCTAGGCAATGGGGGTAAAGTGTCTTGCCTAAGGACACAATGGCAGTTTGGCACTTCACAGCCGCAGCCGCCCTGTTGTGGCATCTGGTGTTCCTGGTGTCTTGCCAAGGACAACCCGGCAGCAGACATCAGTGGGAGTCGGTGGAGAAAAGGCCAATGCTCTGCCAACTGAGCTACGGATTTAAAAATATGTGTTATAGATCTGTCTTTTTTTATTCTGTAAAATGTGTTGGGAAAAGCTCAACCAGGGACAAGAGTTGAAAACTAGCATTAGCTACACACTCTGCATGTAACACATCAGTTGCATCTTTCATGCTGTAACGGTGTAACATTGTCCCTGTCAATTACATAAACATAAATAATAAAAAAACAGAGTAAATAGCTTTCTTTCCCCTCACTGTAAAGTACAGTACAGCAGATTCACTGGGTTTGATGGGAGAGCCCTACAGTGTGGTCTGGTGGTCATCAGTCTTTGGTTGAGCTCAGGGCCTGCTCTGCGTCTCCATAATCGTCCCTCCCTTTTCCTCTTCCGTGCAGCCCTCACCCTTCCTCCCTGAGCATTGATCCGGCGTGCCAATGACATCATGTGAAGCGGGAAACTTTCTTGCACATTTTCAGGGGGCTAAAGCGAGGCTCCGGGGATCCAGGCATCGCGAGTGTCTGTTTTACTGTGTGGCTTTGTGGCCCCAGGATGTGAGTCATGGTGTTTGATTGGACACGGTCAGCTGAGGAGATGGAGGCTGTGTCATGAACAGTGTGATCAAGTGGTAAAAACAGAAGTGTTGTTAAGTGGGACTTAGCGTCAACAGCTCCTCATCTGACTCTTCTAGGCCCTGTTTATACTGAGAAGCTGCGCAAACGTTTCCAGGCTATTAACAGAAACGACCTGGCTCCTAATGCAAATTTCTCTGCGTTCACATGAGGTTGAAAAACTATGTAGTTCTAGCGCCCGGCCAGTAGTGGGCAGAGAAACTTTACAACACTCACACGACCCCCAGCCCCGTGCCCAGCCCCCCTCTCGGCAGTGTACTCACTTTTCTGTGCCAGACCCTCAGAAAGTACCAACATGATTCTGCCTTTTAACAGCAGCTGTAAAAATGGAAACTGAACCTAGAGCTTTGCGTGGTCTCGTTTGGACGAACGAAGGTGTAGAATTATCCTCTGTGCAGCGCTGGAAGCCCACGAAGCTAGTTAGTGTGACCGCCGCCATTGTTGTTGATGTTGGTTCTCCGCTACTGCGCATGTCCAAATTTACGTGCGGGGAGCAGCGCGGAGGCGGGGGTCAGAGCAGAGGGGGATTTCACACCTTTCCCCTCTCGCGGGTGTGAAAGAGCTCCCCGCTGTGCAGCGTTTCTGAGTTGTCCCACTCTGCAGGCTGGATCTGAACACTTACGTTTTCACCCCCCTGAAACACAGTCTTTGTATAAACGGTTGGTAGTAACCGACATCCAACTATAAGTAAGTAAGTAAGTAAGTAAGTAAGTAAGCTTTATTTATATACCGCCTTTTCACTGCAGATCTGAGTCTCAAAGCGGTTTACAATTGTTATTTTTTTTTTTTTTGTTTGGGCATTTGTCTCTCACTCCACACAGAGATGGGAGTGGGGTCGCCAGAACAGGAGGCGCATGCCAGACCTATTGTACATATTTTTAGTGGTAGGGGAAACCGGAGTACCCGGAGGAAACCTACGCAGACACGGGGAGAACATGCAAACTCCACTCAGAAAGGCCCTGGTCCGACCGGGATTCGAACCCAGGACCTTCTTGCTGAGAGGCGAGAGTGCTATCCACTCAGCCACCGTGCCGTTTTACTGCCACATTGTCTCCGTTTAAACTCAACCCTAGTGTCTTGCTATCTGCCATAATAAATGTATACATGTATACACCTCAGGACAAATATACTTATTATGATGTATTATGCTGTTGATGTCCTCTGTTCATATAATCAAAGTAGGTCAAGAAATACATGACTACTAACTAAACATAATTTGAGAACTTAGAATGTGAAGTAACCAGAGGGAGAGACCAGAGGGAGAGAGAGACACCTTTTAAGAGTTGTACAAGATGTTGCTCCGTGCAGATAAGCAAAGCTACTTTCTTTCTTCCTCCAGTCTGTTGTGTAGCAGTAGCTCTTATGGTTGAAAAGTTGAAAAGGGAAGTTCTCTCTGCACAGTTGTTGTTTACTCTACTCTGACTGTTTTCTGGTCTGTAAAAGCTTTGAAGTTGTTTTAAACTGATTGTAGTGATGAATAGGAGGAAGTCTGGATTGCTGCAAACTGTTTACAATAAAACAGTGTTTGGGAAAAAAATCCGGGTTATGTGACGAGGATAGAATAGTTTAAAGTTTAGCTTTATTCGAGCAGTGGCTTTATTACATCACTGACTAAAACCTATTTTCTCAACTCTGATCTTTCTGCTAAGCAAACCTAAAACTATCTTAATGTTTAATATGATCCATTTTGTTGAGGTAAAGCAATATCTAAATGCACAACCCCACACAATGAGACGAATGCATATTTAAAAGCCTTTGTCCAGGAATTAGCTCCCTGGAACAGACTGAGCATTGAGGATCAAATAACACTGCTCAGGAAGTGATTGTGCAAAAGTGCAGCTCTCCTGTGAGAGCGGACATCACGCTTTCACCACTCGTGCATACAACTGTCAACTGTGTGGTAACGGTGACAGTGCTTCCACAGAATCTACCCTGAGCCCGCCTGCTCCAGACGGTACCTGCAAATGTTGCAATAAAGTCTTCCAAGTTTTAGGTGTGAATTTCTGAAACATCATATTGTTCTCGATTCCTTTTACACTTAAGTCTCTATCAGAGGTGGCCGTGCTCCTTGATTTGCAGTCCTTCTACTTGTTTCCTTTATCCATAATCTCGCCCGCTGGCATCTATCTGTGGCAAATGTTCAGGGGAAATGTTTTTACACTTTTTATTTCCTGGAATCATGGGAATGAAATGAATCAGATGGATGCCATCTCTGACTTTAAATGTAGCTTATAACTTAACTTCAAAGTATTCTGATGCTTATGTTGATGTGAATACTTCAGAAGTTGAAACACTTAAAACTGCAACTGAACAGCAAAGGCAACAGCAATGACAATGTTTGTCCTAAAGGATGATCCCAGAGTGAGCTTTTCATCTTGTGTGCCCTGGAGTTGAACCTCCCAAAGATCCTCCTCTCATACAGGCAGAGTGGAAGCGGACACATGTGTCATGTTTTCCTCATTGTGTATGTTTGTGTACTGCCCCTAAAGGGCGGGTCCTCTGCTCTTCCTTATTTGGAGAAGTGTGGGGAGGGGAGAGGGGGGAGGTCACATGGGCACACAGCCGTCTCCAAAGCGGTAGGAGCAAAACCCTCCTCAAGTCCAACGTAGACTAGACTAGAGTACAGTGCTTGTCTGTTCAGACAAAGAGTGCGAGGAGCATAAGCAGACAGAGCAGAGGATTTAAGAGCGGTCTGCCGGCACATGGTGGAAACATGCCCACCAACTTCACTGTGGTCCGAGTGAAGGACGCCAGAGGAGCCCAGCGCAGCCCCTCGGAGGACAATGTGCTGAGGGAGGAGGATGAAGAGGCTACAGGTGAGTCGGCCTGTCTGCTCTTACCACACTTGTGGATTCTTGCTGCTGCCCTCTCTCAACATCTACCAACAGACAGGCTTTTAGCCTCACATTTCAGGCTTTTGGATTGTCCTGCGCTGCTCTGCTGTGTTTTACAAGTCAACCCATAGAAGACAAAGTACTTCCACACTGTTGCTTGTTCGCACTGTGCCCATAGATTGTTTCTTCACAGCACAAGAGGGAAGTTGGCATTCCCCTGCCTTCTTGACACACATGCCACAGTAATAAACATCTAATGAATGGCTCTGAATAACAGGGCAACACTACATGTCTGTTTCAGACATCTTGCCCTCTCCTTTATTGCTCCATTAGCTGGAATATTAGCTGCTGTCACACAGTATGCCACAGAACATTATGTCCTCTTATCTGTCTGTGAGATGCTACTACTACAGACGGGGCCATAATGATAAGAAGCAGCTTGCTTGGATGGATACTGACTGCTACAGAACTTTGGCACGTTTTCAGACATCAGATTACCTTTAGCAGCTGGCTTTGATAGGCTTTTCATCATCTGTTGATGTTTTTTCCTGTCCCGTGCAATGACGGTCTGACAGGGGGAACCTTGTAGTTTTGGGCTCGAGGTCATCAAGTTTGTGTTTAACAAACTCCTGTCTTCTCAACCCGCCGCACACTTAAATTTTAATGTGCTGAATGGCAATTACGGCCCATGCTGTGAATGAGTTTACAGACTGCAGGAGACTGGGCTGTGCACCAGGGCCGAGCGAGGATCTAATCTTTTGGGATGAGGTTAGGTTTAAGGAGGGGTGGAATTGCACCATTTTCATTCCACAAGTTTAAAAAGTGCTTCAAAATATGTTCACTATAGGCAAGGCTGATATAATGGTATTTTGTATTCCTATTTTTTGCCATGGGTGTTTTTGTCTGGCTATAGCAGTTTTCATTCAGGCGTGTATGTGGGTTAATATAACTTTGTCTTTCAGTTTCCTTTGGTGAATTAATTTCTTGTACAACAGTTGGACTTGTCACTTTTTTGTTAAAACCCCATTCCAAATTTTTACTCACAGAATTGTCAAAAAACCATACATTTTTAAAAATGGATTTAGTGCTATCTGTTTTTCTCACCGCTTTTCACAAGTGTCCGAGCCCAGAGTACAGTCATCACGGTAAGCTAACAGAAGCTACCCACATTAGCAAATTATTACCTGTTTGTCATATCGAAAATCAGATACAGGCTCTGACAAAAATGAGCAAATTCTCACTTGGAATGAGAAATAAAATGCTACTGCTCTTGAAATACATCAAAAGCTGCGGGATCCATCGGGAAATGACTTTTGCTGCTCTTGACTTGTTTTGTGTATACACGATTTTGCAACACCACAAGGATTAACCTTTTTAATGGTTTGCTCAACCATTTGGCTGATCACATTTGAGGCACTAAATCTAAGTCTGGAACTGGAATCTACCTCGTTGTTAGTGCTTCGACATCTCTGAAAAGTATTGTTTTCTTCAAATAGTGAACAAGGGTTAAGAAAGCTTGCAGAGGAATTGTGTTAGTTCAGCATCTCAAGTCCTGTAAATTTGGAATCAAAAGTCCAGTTGTAAAATCACGGACGCAGACATTGTTTGGGGGTGAAGTCAAAGTCCAGAGAAGAGCGTGCGAGCCGGTGCTGCTCGTGATTGTGTTTGGAGAGCGCTGATAGCAGGATAAGTGTGTTAGCTCAGTGGCTAAAGAGAGTCACTGGTATCGATTAGACCCTGGCCTGCTTCCCGTTGGCTGTGTGGGGGGAGGTGATGGACCCCACCCCCACACTGTCATCCCGTGCACTCCAGCTGTCTCACACTGCTTCTGCTTTGAGCTGTACGCAAACAACTTTAGATTTGGCGATGGATAGATGCATTTGGTTTGAATTATGCAGTTAAACAAAAAAAGATGAACAATTGTGTGTAGAAATATAGATGATAGAAGTTTGTTGAGATGCAAACTTCTATCATCCTGTCAGTTAAGTTTTGTCAGTATAAACAAAAAAAAACTATTAAACAAAACATGCTATTATATCAGTGTTTTTGATTTTTGTTTTTGCTGAAAAGTTACGCATTGGGGCTTTATAAAGGAATGATAATGATTCAGGTCTTTTAGCATAAACATGGATAATATCACAATTCCTTCAAAGATATGCTGGACATCAGTATTTGAGAAAGTTTATTTGTTTGTTTGTGCTATAACTGTTCATGGACAGATTCAGTATATTAATATTCAGTACATTTTAAGAAAATGAACAAGTAATAACATTTTGGAAGAGATTCAGGACCATTCCACGGATACAGGGCCAGTGCAGTGCAGGGCCAGAGAGTACAGGGCAACAGTAGCTCAGTTGGTAGAGCATTGGGCTTTGAGCCCACCTAAAGATTTTCATCATCGACTCCCACTGACTGCTGTCGTTGTGTCCTTGGCAAGACACTTAACCTCTGGGAACACCTGATGCCACAGTGGGGCGGCTGCAGCTGTAAAGTGCCTTAGGCAAGACACTTTACCCACATTGCCTAGAATGAGTCCAGTGTGTGTGTAAATGGTTGGTGGTGGTCGGAGGGGCCGATGGCACAGACTGGTTGCCTCGCTTCTGTCAGTGTGCCCCAGGGCAACTGTGGCTACAATAGTAGTTTATCATCACCGTGTATGGAGTGAATGAATAATGACATGTAAAGCGTCTTTGAGTGTCAAAAAAAGCGCTATATAAAACCGATGCATTATTACAGGGCCAGAGCAGCACAGGGCCAGAGCAGCACAGGGCCAGAGCAGCACAGGGCCAGAGCAGCACAGGGCCAGAGCAGCACAGGGCCAGAGCAGCACAGGGCCAGAGCAGCACAGGGCCAGAGCAGCACAGGGCCAGAGCAGCACAGGGCCAGAGCAGCACAGGGCCAGAGAAACACAGGGCCAGAGCAGCCCAGAAAAAAAAAATCACACGTTTATTGCAGTAATTTTTGTTAATATTTTTCACGAGGAGTTAGTGGACATGTGTGCCTTTTAATATGAGCGGCCTTTGTGGGAATGGTTATATTCAAAGTATTAGAGTAAAATGAGTTTGTAAAACACCTGCGGCGCAGCGACGCGAAGCAGGAGCCGTAGTTCTGAGCGGAGCCAGAGCAGAGCCAGAGGTCTCCAGAGATCAGAGAAGTATTTGGTACTGGCTCACTCAGATTCAGAGGAGGAAGACACGCAGGTGTCCAGTGAAGCAGACACAGACATTATTAGTGACAGGAGTCCGCGTCATAATAGTCCACAGTCAGCCACAGTTTACGTCCTCCGTGTGGCCCCGTGGTAAAGAGGTCCGGCTTTTCGGAGTCAGCGGTAAAGCGGTCCGCACATTAAAAGCGGATAGCCGCTTTATCAGTGGCGGCCGGCCAATAGAGGGCGCTAGGGCGCCGCCCCACCACTCACAACTTGCCATGTTACCTTGAATAAAACGTTAAAAAAATAATAACATTAAAATATTTTGAAATTTATGTGTGTTTTATTTCAGATGTGGAAGAAATACTTTATAGTTTATGCTGAGTTGGATTGATTAAGCTCATCAGCGTTGTCTGTGTCGGACTGAGGACGTATTTCCGCCTCAGGGCGCAAAAGATTGCGCCCTGAGCCGTCTATGGACTCTCGTTAAAAGTTGTACATGCGCAGTAGCTCCTCTTCAATGCAAGAGATAAGACGATTTGGGGGCGCAGGAGAAGTACGCCCTGAGGGGGCGGGATCGCCCGCGACCTGTACTGTCACTGTCTGTGACGTCCGTTTACAGTGATTAACAGGTCAAGCTGTGGGAGTTTGAGACGAACATAAAGAGACGCAAAATGGAGAACGAGAAAAAGAATAATTCAGTTAGATCACTCAAAACAATACCGTTTGAGAGAAGATCATACCAGGAGAAGGTTGAGGTTAAAGAGCTTGGACCTGATCAGCCAAATATTACCATTAGTCAGCAGTCCAGGACCTGGTTCAGCGCCAAATCTTGGCTAGCAGCCAGGGACGTGCAGTCAGGGGAGGCAGGGGAGGCAGAGCCTCACCTGCCATTATTGGAAACTAATAATTATTTTAGTTTAAATATATAATTTATATCCACTGTCCTATGCTTTTAATGTATATTCGGCACGGTTCCCATCAGTTTTGATCATTTCTGAAGTCAAAATCGCCGAAATCCCGTTATTCCTATTCAAAGAGACGAGGTGAGGCAGCGCTCCTGCGTGCCTCACCCCAGACCGCTCCCTCACAGTGTGTGTGTGTGTGTCTGAGTGCACTCAGCTCGTGCAGTTGATATATCACCGTTTGTTTCAAATATCCTGCTTTAAAAACATTTTTTAAACTCCTCTTAGTGTTTAGTAGTGTATTGCACGTATGTGTGTACAATTTATATTTAGTTTAAGTCTTTTGATCGTAGATGAACACACAAGGAAAAAGCTTGGCGTGAGGCAGGCGGTATCTGTGCCTCACCGCTAGGGGTGATAGTGAGCATAAAGTTCATACCAGAGTTGCTAACAATCAGCCCAAAATCCTATTTCTTTTGCTGGAAAATGGATGATTTGAATGAAGATTTTTTTTCTCAATTGGACTTTCAAACAAAGAAAGAATTAATATAGACTGGGAGACCACCACTGGACTTACGAGGTTAGTCCGGCTGCGGGGGAGGAGTTTGTTAATCTGTGTTTTATGTTGAACATTGACAGATACCGGCAAAGTAGTGCTTTTCCGAAAAACACCGATTCAAACACTGCTCAAGAGTTCTGCAACTTGTTTAAATTATTGTTTATGTTCCTCGCGTCTCTCTCTCCTCGCGTCTCCGTCTCTCTCTGCTCCTCGCGTCTCCGTCTCTCTGCTCCTCTCTGTCTCTCTCTGCTCCTCTCTCCTCGCGTCTCTCTCTCCTCGCGTCTCCGTCTCTCTCTGCTCCTCGCGTCTCCGTCTCTCTGCTCCTCTCTGTCTCTCTCTGCTCCTCTCTCCTCGCGTCTCTCTCTCCTCGCGTCTCTCGCACCTGCGCTTCTTAAAGATGTTGTTTGATGCGGAGCAGAGTCAGCAGCTAGATTTGTTGTGAGATTATTAAAAGAAGCTGGTTCTCTTATCTTTACAGTATATAAAGTTTGTGGATGTCATTGCATTGGTGATTAAATGCTATTTTATTTGAATAATGATTGTAAATCTGATTTTTTAAGTCAGTGCCTCCCCAATCACAAACCTCACCGCACGTCCCTGCTAGCAGCATGTAGCGAGGCTAATGCTTTATTTTGCTTTCCATGCCTCTTGTTTCAAACATCAGGATTTGACCCAGCATGGATCAAGACAGGTATGACTGATCTGAAGCACTTTTTAGAAAAGGCAAAGAAGCATGAGCAGACTGGTATCCACATGCAAAATGCCCTCAAATTAGCTATGTTTGGGAAGATAAATATTTCATCCCAGCTGGATGAAAGCTACAGGCCTGATCATGTGACCTTGTTGATTCTCGTGTGAGGCTTCAGTCACAACAGTCAGTGTAAACTTACTTACTGCTGGTATATATCTAGTCATCATATTCATAGCCCCCCCAGTAGAAATTTCCACCAGCCGCCACTGCGCTTTATGCTGTGACTCACGGTAACATTGGAAAGAGAAGACGCGGGGATGAGCCGCCACAATGCACGTTTTAACATAAAGCGGCCACCCGCTTTTAATGTGCGGACCTCTTTACCGCTGACTATGAAAACCCGGGCCTCTTTACCGCTGACTCCGAAAACCCGGGCCTCTTTACCGCTGACTCCGAAAACCCGGGCCTCTTTACAGCGGTGTGTGGCCGCAGTGGAAACATTCTGCGAACGCGAGGCAGGGGACGTGGTGAAGGGGACAGGGGGGTCATAACACTGGACATGTGGGTGAATGCAGCGGGGATAAACAACCGCGGGGAACGCGGCAGATGTGGCAGAAGCCACGGAAGAAAACACACCGCTAATCTGCCTTTACGGACGGAGATGATGATGATGAAGGCAGAGAGGAAGAAAATCCATAAAAGTGGATCAGAAATGTTGAAGAGCCTGTTGTTTATTGTTGAGACAATCTGACAAGTTCTGAGCCCATTAATTTAATCGCTCTGTTTCTAAACGATGAATTCTGGAGCCTCATTTCCACTGAGACAAACAATATGCCACCAGGTCTTTTGAAAGGGTAATATTGAAACCAAAGTGCAGATTTCATGACTGGTAAACTATAAGCAGTGCCATCTTGATCATTGAAGGTCTAATACATAATACAATTCCATATGGCTGCTGACCAGTGCTAAAATATTCTATATAAATTGGATCAGTGAATTCATTCCTATCCCACATTGTGTTTTCATACTAAAGATATTTCACATTGACTGTTGACAGTATTCCCAGAGCTCAAAATACACTCTCAAACTACAGCTTTTTGAAATCTTTATACAATAAACATTTTCCAAAATGGCCACCACCTTGATGACGTCACAGTATGCAAATTAGATGGCGAAAACATCCATCCCAAAGTTTGGTTCATACTGAAGATATTTCTCATTTACAATATGCCTTCATCTCAAACTACTTTAAAGTTATAGCCTTTTGAAATCTTGAAATCGAAATTGTAAATTTTTTTGAAAGAAATGGGCTTAGTGCTGCATGAAAATCCCTCGCCAAAGGCCTGGGCTCCGCACCGTGCTCCTCCTTGCTGTCG